ACCCGAACCCAAAAACCCTGAAAACCTTGATTTGTCATCCTCCTGCTGCCTCGTTCGGAGAGCGCTGCACTGGGGGAGAGGATCACACGTCGAACCCTGAAACCCGTAAGTTTATAGGGCTTAGGGTTTATAGGGCTTTGGGTTTATAAGGTTTAGGGTTTACAGAGTTTATAGGGTTTGTAGGGTTTAGGCTTTAGGAAATACCGAGTTGGGGCTAAGAAGTCTGTGAGGATGTTACTTTGGGAGGTGTGGATCAGGCTTTGAGGCTCGCAGGGGCGGCACTTCTTGGGCTCATCCTACATACTTCTGCCTTCCGGTGGGAATCTGCTATGACTGTGACCACGAGTTACATCTTAGACTCCTGTGCGCCCCGTAACGTAGTAGGTCGTTGGAGCCACACGGATAGCTTGGTCTGATATAATGGCTGCTGCGGGCGGCACGCAAAGTTGGGGTCTCGATGCAAAATTCTAGTATAATATAGTATCATCTATAATATAATGGTATAACATAAGAGAAATATAGTATAGTAAAACAGAATATAATATATGATGGTGAGTGGCAAAGCGAGCTCTCGGGTACAATGGGAAACTTGCAGGTCTACATGAAGGGATGACCAAGGGAAAGATGATCATCCTTGAAAAGCTTTGGGTCACCTGAAGTAATAAGTATGCTTTAGGATTTAGGGTTTGGGGGTTTAGGGTTCAGGTTCGGGCTTTGGTAAGTGCATATTCCTCTACAAACCCAGTCATCAGTTTGGAAGGTGAGTGTATGTCTTAGGTGCCCTTTTGACGATGGCTGCAAATACAAGACCTACATCAACAAAAATTGGGCCAAGGCACATGCCAACATGTGAGAGGAAAAGTATAAGAACATACGGATCCTGGTAAGGAATCGTAAACACTAGGATCCTTGTCGCTGGACCCCGAACGCCCCACAAAAACTGACCCCAATGTATGTAGAACAATAGTGTATTCGGCAGGATTCTTCCCATAAAGACTCTCACGAGAAGGAACCACAATTCGCAAGACCTGCCGCCAAACCCGTCTCATGTGATGCAAGTCTATTGCCACTAGTACCCCCCCTCCGCTCATAAGAGCAGAAACAAAACGCGCTCAGCAACATTCGAAAGGAGGTGTATTACCCTAAACTAGACCATCAAACGAACAATGCAGCATGTGTCCTATTCGTTACGAAACTCTGCGTGAACCCTGAACAGGCCCTTTATAAGGCCCTATGTATCCCCAAACTATACTAGGCGACTGAAGATGATAACCTTTTAAAGCCTTAAACCCTAAACCCCAAACTGCAGCATGGCTCTTTTGGGATGCTAATGTAGGCCTTACCAATTAGAATAGGGTTTTGGGGTATGTTATACCATAACTNNCCCCCCCCCCCCGCAAAAAAAAAAGGTATAGTTAATTATTCAGGCCCTACAAAAACCCGAGACACAAGTCTTTCTGGCTGCTAGTCCCCGAGATCGAGATCGCCCGCCGCCGAGGCCACTTCGCGGGTCTCTGAGCGCTCCCCCTTCTTCCAGACTCCTGGGCGGCGGTGATGCGTGTTCAGGGTTTTAAAGTTTAGGATTAGAGTTTGGGGTTTCGGGTTTAAAAGTTTAGGGTTTGGGGTGTAGGGTGTGTGTTTTCGTGAAGGGCGAAGGGGGAGTAGTGGGGTTTACCTGCTCTGTGGTGTTTCGACTGTTGGGTTAAACCCAAGCCCTTGATGAGCACGGGAGAGTACTTATCTGGCTTTCTGAGCCTCTAGCTAGAGATCGGAACTGGTGGCCTTGGGTCTTAAGAAAGGCATCATGCAAGGATCATATCCACACCTGCTGCTGCAGCTTAACTACACATACCTCC